CTTCCAGCCCGATGTCATCTCAGGGAAATCTTCACTGGTGGTGCCTCAGCCCAGGTCCTTGTTATATGCTCTCTCAGCAGCTATTTACTGGTTTTTGTTTTGTTTTGTTTTGTTTTTTCAAGGCAGAGTCTCGCTGGGTCACCCAGGCTGGAGTGCAGTGGTACGATCTTGGCTCACTGCATCCTCCACCTCCCGAGTTCAAGCAATTCTCCTGCCTCAGCCTCCTGAGTAGCTGAGACTACAGGCGTGTGCCACCACACCCAGCTCACTTTTTGTATTTTTAGTAAAGATGGGGTTTCACTGTGTTAGCCAGGATGGTCTCAATCTTCTAACCTCATGATCTGCCTGCCTTGGCCTCCCAATGTACTGGGATTACAGGTGTAAGCCACTGTGCCCAGCCTATTTACTATTTTTTTAGACCAGGTCTCACTCTTTTGCCCAGGCTGAGTGCAGTGGTGTGATCCTAGGTCACTGAGCCTCCAACTCCTGGGTTCAAGGGATCATCCTGCCTCTGCCTCCTGAACAGCTGGGACTACAGGAGCACACCACTACACCTGGCTAATTTTTAAATTTTTTGTAGAAATGGGTTTTCGCTATGTTGGCCAGGCTGGTCTCTCACTCCTGGCCTCAAGTGATCCTCCCACCTTATTTCCCAAAGCACTGGGATTACAGACAAGAGCAACCACACCCACCTCTATTTACTTTTTTATTGTTTCCCCCTGACACACACCCCCACTCCAGCAGAATTTAAATCTCATGAAGGCAGGGACTTGTTCACTGTTCTTTCCCCAGGGTTCAAATGTGTGTTGAGTAAGTCATATTTGCCACTATTTGTTACCTTATGTCAATATTGTTATTGGATTCATATCTGTCTCTCCCACTAGACTGTAATCTGTCTAGGGTGGGAACTCACCACTGTATGCCACCATTGTATGCCAGCATTTGCACCATAGGACGCCTTCCACAAACCTATATTGAATATTATATATATATCTCAGCATCCCAAGTAGCTGGGACCACAGGTGCAAGCAACCACACCTGGCTAACTTTTAAACTTTTTGTAGAGACAGGGTCTCACCATGTTGCCTAGGCTGCTCTTGAATTCCTGGACTCAAGCAATCCTCCTCACTTGGCCTCCCAAAGTGCTGGGATTACTGGTGTGAGCTACCGCGCCCAGCCTGGATATATTTTATCTCAATTGTGTGAGAAATGCAGCAGAAAAATCACACCGAAAGAATAATATTGACTGTGTTCAGATTATGACAATATTACTGATTTCTTTCTGTCTCCAGAAAAAAAAATTTCTGGAAAAGTGAAAACACAAATAAAAATTCACAATTAAACAAAAAGAAGAAATAGCTCCATATATTGTAGATATTGTATAATAAAAAAATAAAACAAAAAATAATAAGCTAAAAATAGAAATGATACCTATAATTAATCTACTCTAAAACATCAGGTGTTTTCAACTTTTTTTTTTCAGTGTGCCCAAAAGGGGAATCATTTTTACATAGCTATAATCATAGATAAATGTTGGATTTTCATTTTCCTGCTTCATGTTATGTCATGTGCATTTTCCCAGGATTCTATGTTGTCTACATAATTATTGTTAACAACTCAGTTGCTCAGTTAAATTAATGTTCTTGGGGTGGGGTTATTGCTGTAAGATAAATTTCCTGGTGTGGATTTCAAAGTGCATGAGTACTTTCAGGGAAATACAGATTTCTGGCTTCACTGGCCAGAAGACAGAAAAGAAGCAGGCAGTGGTGGAAATGTACACAACCGTGGAAGGAAAGCTTGAGGTACGATTAAGTGAACTGTGATTACTTTTAAAAGAAGAGTCAGGGCTCGGCATGGTGGCTCATGCTTGTAATCTCAACAGTTTGAGAGGCTGAAGCGGGAGGATCGCTTGAGGCCAGGAGTTCAAGGCAAGCCTGGGCAACAGAGTGAGATTCTGTCTCTACAAAAATTAGTCAGGGACGGTGGTCCCAGCTAAGGAAGGAGACCGCTACTACTCCTGCTGCCCTCCTCCCCCCACCTTGCCTAGTTCACAAAACAGGAGGAAAGAGAGAAAGCAAAAAGTTAGAAAGAAACAAAGGTAAGATAAATAGCCAGACAACCTTGGCACCACCATCCGGCCCTAGGAGTTAAAAAAAAGTGATAATAATAACATCAACCCCAACCTAAACTACTTGTGTTATCTGTAAATTCCAGACACTGTATGAAAAAAACATTGTAAAACTTTTTGTTCTGTTAGCTGATGCATGTAGCCCCCAGTCACGTTTCCCACGCTTGCTCGGTTTATCACGACCCTTTCACGTGGACCCCTTAAAGTTGTAAGCCTTTAAAAAGGCCAAGAATTTCTTTTTCGGAGAGCTCGGCTCTTAAGACGCCAGTCTGCCGACACTCCCGGCCGAATAAAAACCTCTTCTTTCTTTAATCCGGTGTCTGAGGAGTTTTCTCTGCAGCTCGTCCTGCTACACAGCTACTGGGGAGGTTGAGGCCAGAGGATCACTTGAGCCTAGGAGGTCAAGGCTTCAGTGATCTATAATCGCACCACTGCACTCCAGCCTGGGCAACAGAGTGAGACGCTGTCTCTAGAAATAAATGCAGAAATAAAGAAAATGTGTAAAAAGACAGTCAATATTACACCAAGCCCGTATGGGGGAAGATGTTGTTTATATGAAACATTTCTAAGTCAAGTAGCTTGACTGTCTCCTGAAATGAGACCGATGTTTTCAGAAACACAGAAAGGTGGTGCCAGCTTTTGGGGAACTGACAATTAGGGAGGGCTCCAAGGAAGGGGAGGTCGTGTACAAATGTGGGTCATTAGTAAGTGAGGTGTTCATAAGTTAGAGGCAGCCAGTATTGGTTAGAAGCAGATACTTAGGATCTCTTAGTCTGCTCTGTTAGTAAATGAAGTAGCAATAGAGACAGGAGTACCAGGCATCAGAGGGAGGAAATGGCAAAAAATTTGCATTGAGGCACCAATGCAAATTCTGTAAGTTGAACATGTTGATTGCTGTCTAGTGCTTTGCAAAATGCAAGTCTGGGCAGGGTGACCTCTGGCTCCTTTCTTGAATATTTTATAAAATAGCAGTATCATAGCCCCAAGCAGGAGCCTGAGTTGCAGCCATCTCAGTTCATTGCCTTTTAACTCCAGATTTGCCACTTCGCAAATATCTTGCTCTTCAGTTCCTTAGCAATACAAAGACCCTAACACTGTGCTGTACAGCAGACCCTGGATAAAGGATAACAGCTGCTGAGCCACACGGAATACTTTTCAAAGCAGCAGAATCTCCCAGGGTTGGAACCCAACAACTTGCCTAACTTTTTCATTAGTGCTATCTAAAAGCAACCACTCTATAAGCCTTGTCATCATGTTCTTCAGACTCCACTTTCTGTTCATTTTGCCTCCGTCCAGGAACATCTCCCTCTGAATTAGGGACCTCTCATTTCCAAACAGTTCTAGAGTCTTCCTTAAATAGAGCAAAATGATCTACTTTGAAAAAAGTATTAATAAATCACAACAACTGGTGATTTAATTAAGAACTTAAAGCAGCATTTTCATTTGAAAGAGAATTGGGCAGGAAAGGGGAGGAGAGAAGAAAAAAAAGTAATAGGATTTCAGGCCACATGTTCTGACAATATGGGGCAGACATATTTGTGCGCTGCATGGCTTTTCTGTCCATCTCAAATTACCCCACTACCTTTGCATTAGACCTGTGCTCACTCATGGGCTTTTGTGTTTTTGTGTGTAAAGAACTTCATTATCTAAGACCATTATATTCGGCAGGGTGCGGTGGCTCACGCCTGTAATCCCAGCACTTTGGGAGGCAGAGGCAGGGGTGATCATTTGTGGTCAGGAGTTCAAGACCAGCCTGGTCAACATGGCAAAACCCCGTCTCTACTAAAAATACAGAAATTAGCCAGGCGTGGTGGCGGGCACCTGTAATCCCAGCTACTCAGGAGGCTGAGGCAGGAGAATCACTTGAACCCGGGAGGCAGAGGTTGCAGTGAGCCAAGATTACACCACTGCGCTCCAGCCTGGGTGACAGAGAGAGACTCTGTCTCAAAAAATAATAATCATAATAACAAGAGTGTTACATTCAATAATTTCTTTTCTGCATGTTAGCTTTTATCTTTGACCACTGGATGGACAAGCAAGTAACCTATTTGTTACATTCACTGTTGAATCCATTGCCTACCTGGGGCCTCATAAACACTAAATTGATTAACATTGCTCAATAAACATTTAATGAATTAACAAGTGACTGAATGAGTAATCAAAATGAGAATATTCTAGTTTCTGCATGTCATTAGAACATCTATCATTCAATTGCATTATTAGGTCAGGTTTTAGCACATTGCTTAATCCAGGTTGTCCTCATCAGCCTGATGATTAGTTTAACTACTGGCAAAAACTTTTACTTTGCCATCATATTTACAAAGAATACTAAAAAAGAAAAAAAAAAGAATATACCTAGAATACATTCAGTGTTGAAAGGGAAATTCTGATTAGAGCCATTTTTTTTCTAGACTCATAGATTATGCTGCTCCTCCATTAGGTAAAGTTTAGCCCATCACATGAATTGGCATTAGATGTGAATGAATTTAAAGAGTGCATTGAGGCTGGACCAGGTGGCTCACTCCTGTAATCCCAGCACTTTGGGAGGCTGAGGCATGCAGATCACTTGAGCTCAGGAGTTCGAGACCAGCCTGGGCAACATGGTGAAACCCTATGTCTACTAAAAATAGAAAAAATTAGCTGGACATGGTGGTATGCGTCTGTGGTCTCAGCTACTCGGGAAGCTGAGGTGAGAGGATCACTTGAGCCCAGGAGGTGGAGGTTGCAGTGAGATGAGGTTGTGCCACTGTACTCCAGCCTGGTGACAGAGTGAGACCCCCATCTCAAAAAAAAAAGTACATTGATTTAAGGATGAGCTTGATGTTAAGAAAATAAATAAAGACTGCGCTAATGTTTTTATTTTATTTCAGCAAACTTCAGAAGACAAAGAGGGATATCAGATGGCTTCAGGGAGTGACTGGTGAATGGTTTGAAGAAATTCAAAGAAAAAAGTTTTGCAACGAAACAGATGTTAGCCAGATGTTAAAACAACCACTTACATACAGGCTAAGGAAGGAGATGGCAAAAAATGGTAAGAAAAAGACTTTAGATTTAAAGTTGGTTTCTTTTTTTCTGTGGCATAGTATTGTAGATAATGGCCCAGTGGATCTCCAATGTAACCAATCCATGTTTAGAAATATTTTAAAGTCGTAAGCCACAAAAGTTTATAATACAATATACACTTAAAAAAAAGTGAACTGAAATTTTACTGTAATAATGTCTTGGGGTTTTTTGTTTTTTGTTTTTGTTTTTTTGAATCGGACAAGATAGCATAGTGGGTAGGAATATAGACGGTGATGTCAACAGAGGCCTGGATTCAAATCTACTCTGTCTCTATTCATGTGAGTCTGTTCAAGTCATTTACTCTCTGTAAACCTCAGTTTCCTCATCTTTAAATGGATACAATGATACCTACACCTCATAAGGTGGTTATGAGAATTAAGTAAAATTATGTGTATAGTGTATTAAGCTGGGCGGGGGTAGTGGCTCACAATTGCAATCCCAGCACTTTGGGAGGCTGAGGCAGGAGGTGGCAGGTGCCTGGAGTTTGAGACCAACCCAGGCAACATGGTGAAACCTCATTTCTACAGAAAAATACAAAAATTAGCTGGACGTAGTGGTGCCCATCTATAGCCCCAGCTACTCTGGAGGCTGAGGCGGGAGGATTAGTTAAGCCTAGGAAGCAGAGGTTGCAGTGAGCTGAGATCATGCCACTGCACTCCGGCCTAGGCAACAGAGTAAGACTGCACCTCAAAAAATAAATAAATAAATAATAAAATACTAAGCTGGAACAGGGTAAGCACTTAAATAAATGGGATGACTATGATGAAGGGGGAGGAAGAAAAAGCGGAGGGGTGGAGGAAAGGAGAATCAGAGATCAGAGAAGGGAGGGAAGGTGGTGGAGGAGCTGCCACACTTCTGGAACTTTGGTAAACTCCATGAATGAGTTCTAATAAATGCCTTCTATATAGAAAAAAAGAAAACTTGCTTTCACAGGGCTATTGCGAAGATAACCAAAGTGCACTAGAAACTATAAAATACTAAAATAAAGTATCTTTTTACTGGCACAGAGTCACATTGACTACTTTTTTGCATGTTATTAACATTAGTAACATCATGAAATATGTAAAAATAATTCTAAACTTCTATATTGATAATATCTTGCAACTCTCATAATAAACATACCTGTGTAAAAAGACTCACAGTTCAGATTTTTTAGATCACCCCCATACATACCCTCTTGACTTTTCCCTTGTCCTAAATTCTCCTAATATTTATAAAGTCAGCATGTCCAAAATCATTATCATATCATGGATTTTAAAAAATTTTATCTATTTATTTATTTATTTATTTTGAGATGGAGTCTCACTCTGTCACCCAGGCTGGAGTGTAGTGGCGCCATCTTGGCTCATTGCAACCTCCACCTCCCGGGTTCAAGCGATTCTCCTGCCTCAGCTTCCTGAGTAGCTGGGATTACAGGTGTGCGCCACAATGCCTGGCTAATTTTTTTGTATTTTTAGTAGAGATAGGGTTTCTCCATGTTGGCCAGGCTGGTCTTGAACTCTTGACCTCAGGTGATCCGCCCATCTCAGCCTCCCAAAGTACTGGGATTACAGGCGTGAGCCACTGTGCCTGGCCAATATTATGGATTTTGTATATGTTGATGTTGCCTTTGAATTTTTAATACCCATATATTATCTATACATATATATTTTACATAAACAGGTTGAATATCCATTATCTGACATGTTTGGGACCAGAAGTATTTCTGATTTCAGATCTTTTTGGATTTTGAAATATTTGCATTATATAAACTGAAAAGTTGAGCATCCCAAATCCAAAAATCCCTAATCTGAAAGGCTCCAGTGAGCATTTTCTTTCAGCATCATGTTGGTGCTCAAATTTTTTTGGATTTTGGAGGAATTTTGGATTTCAAGTTTTTTGGGTATAGGATGCTCACCCTGTATATGTTACATGCAAACACATATATAAACCATGATGTAGCAAATACATATCCACAGAGATAGATTTTTGGAAACGAATGAAGAACAATCTAAATGACTTAATTTCCTTTTCCTCTACTTTCTTCAGTATACGAAGTTATGTAGTATGTATCTATCACCATTGTTATAAGGTACTGAAATAAAAACTTCTGAGGGACAGCATGGTTAAGCAACATGAGAATTGAATGGGGTCCCTGACTTCCTAGCTTGGGTTAGAGGAAGAACACTATAGGGAATTTGATTCACAGTACACGTGGAAACATTCCCTGCTATTTGAGTTTTCTCTACGCGGCAGAACCATCAGAGGCGCAGGAGAGAGGTGGTTCTGACTCCCTTAGTCCCTGAGGTCTTCATGTGAGGTTGCCTGCCCTGTTTCTAGTCTGCATAGAGGGAGAAAGTGACGTAAGAGCAGAGGCTTCATTCTTTCAAGTATATTTACTTGGAAATAATTGATGTAAAATTTTTACAATTTTTTTTTTAGATCCAATAGAATTACCTACATCAAGATCTAAAAATGTAACTAATCAAAAAAAGCCAACACCTTTTTCTTCCCGGATGAGCTTCAGGTCGTCATTTGCTTCCCTGTTCTCATTCAGGAAATCTGGAAAGGAGACTTCAAAGCTTCCATCGCTGGGACACAAAGGGTGAGTTAAACTCAGGTCATGTTACGGCCCATTTGTTATCCGATATCAGAGGCCAGCAGCCTGTTTTGTGTTCAAAGTGTTTAATGTTTGTTCTTAGAATTTCAATTCAATTGGTATTCATAACAAAGGAAATGGGGCTTAGCTTGCATAGTGACGAAGTTCTTAGGAAACCTTGAAATTTGGCTCACCTGAAATCCAACTTCTAACGAACTACAGCGTGCATTGGTGGTGCATTTGGTGAGTGATGGGTTAAATATTGGGAAATAGTGATTGCCAGTTTTTCCACTGCTCCAAGAGTCTGGCCTATGCCCTGGCCAGGAAGATATATTTAAATAAAAACTATTCCTTCTTTGCAGAGTATGTGTCCTGGTCACGTCCTGGTCATAAGGAGAGTTGGGGTATAAAGACTAGGTGAGCGAAAATGTGAGATGAACAAAGAGACTAGAGAAAAACAGAATTCTAACACAGAGGGAGGAAATGTGATTACTGTTACTAGAAATACTGTTCCCATGTGTTTGCTCAGAATGTATAAGGTGAGGGAAGAGAAGCTTTTGGAGCAGCGGAAACTTAGTTCCAGATGGTTCCCAGTTTAGAACTGTGCAAATCAGTTCACTTGACTCAGTATGTTGTTGGATTACTTTGTGAAAAACAAGCAAGGCTATGCTTAAGTGCAATCGAGCTGACTGCTAAATATTTTCGGCATGTCTTCCTGGTTGCAAAGCTTCCCACCCTCTTAAGGTGTTGGCTTGGCACGTGATGTGTTCCGTGTGCCGTCAAACCACACGGTGTGTTGCAGCACTAAATAAAAGGTGTTGGAGGTCACTGTCGCTGAGAAACAAGAGGCAGCAAGCAGCTGGTGGGTCGTGTGATGAGGCTGCTGGATTTAGCAGACCACTGTCCTCCCCTCTTGGGTGAATGGAGGGTTTTTCACTTCCAGCTTTCACCCGAGGCTGCTTTTGTCTGATGAAAAAAAGAGCTGACCACAATGTAGATTTATGTGACTGTAGCTACCAGAGTCACTAGGAAGGAAATACTCTTCAAATAGGTGAGTCGTTTCTCTTTGTAAAAATTTTTGAGAGACTAGTGATTCTCGCATTTGGGGGATTTAAAATTGAGAAAATGTTTCTTGCACAGTAAATATTTCTTTGAGGGAGAAAAAAATATTTCCACTGCACGGTATAGCTAGGATTTGTGATATCATTTGTATCTTAGGTGATTTTCTTTAAGGCAGAATGTTGTATAGCTGAACCATTTAATATTAGTAAACTGGGAAAAGTTGAGGAACCTGTTAATTCTATGGGCAAGTTATTTCCAAGCTCATATTGCAAATTATTGCAAAGGTGGATCAAAGAAGATATAGATCTATAATCTTCATTCTGGGTATCATGTTTTTTGGCTATAGACCAAACTGGAAAACATTAAAACTCTTGCAACATTCTGTTTAGCAAATGTTCTTTTTAGATATCGAAATACTTGCAGCTGTCTTTTAACAGGGAGAATTGAAACATAGACACAACATGCAGAAATAAAATAAATATGATCATTTAAGTATATTTATGTGTGTTTAGTAGTTTTCAGAATTTGTCATCTTCAAATATATTTTACTTTCAAAACATAAATGGAATATTTAACATTTATTTTATTATTATTGATATTGATAAGTATTTATTATTTCTGCTGGTGCAGAATATAATTAAAGGCACTGGATTTTGCTCCTAAGAGGTTTCAGAAGATGAAATATAAAAGCATGTTGTTTTTATTTTTAAATTTGAATGTGACCTAAATATTTGGATATGAATCCTATATGTGGGAGAAGAAGTGTTTATTAAAGGGGGCATTGTATTATGAGGAGGTGATATAAATCAAGTCATACATTATGAAGGGCTCTATAATCTCGGGTAGAACCTAACTTTCTTTAGCAGTGTTGATCTGAAATAGAAAATCAATCTGCAAAATGGACTGTGATTCAGGAGCTCCTCCTTACCTACAAGCACCCTGGGAGGGACTGACAAATGGCCCAGGGACACACAGTCATCCTCTGCAGGCAGCAGTCAGGTTTCTACTTGCTGAAGCCATCAAGGGCTTGACTGGCACACTCAGTGCTCTGGAAAACAAATCAGTAAAGCAATTTAGAGGATCTTTTGCAAATCAGAGAAAAAGAATCAACGCAAGGTGAAAGATAGCCTTCTGATCAGCACTTTAAAACGTGCTTATCAGAGACTTTTTTTTTTTCTCTTTTTTAAGCTTTGGTTCTAACTGAGAAATGCACTGGGTAATAGGTAGCCCTCCCCAGAAGAACATAGATTTCATCATTTCACCAGATTCACTTGTTCCCTTTAAGGCCTAGCCAATAATAGTATATGATATATGCAAGCTCTGATTTCCTAATATCAGAGATAAAAAGCCATAGGAACACAGTGACCTGGTGAATTTGTAAAAAATGTAAAAAGAAAGGCCTGTCATGGCGGCTTATGCCTGTAATCCCGGCACTTGGGGAGGGCAAGGCGGAAGGATCACTTGAGCCCAGGAATTTTGAGACCAGCTTGAGCAACATGCTGAAACCCCATCTCTACCAAAAAGATAAATTATCTGGGCATGGTGGCGCAAGCCTGTAGTTCCAGCAACTTGGGAAGGTGAGGTAGGAGGATCACTTGAGCCTGGGAGGTGGAGGGTACAGTGAGCCATAATCATGCCGCTGCACTCCTGCCTGCGTGACAGAGTAAAACTCTGTTTCCAAAAAAAAAAGCAAAAACATTGACCACTTCTGCCTCAAATACGATTTGCTCCTCTTCTTAAATATATACACTTCCCAAATTATCCCATTATGATTTTAATCCTATTCATAAATGATTGACCCCACTCCAACCCCAGGAAAAAAGAAAAATACTTTCCATTTCTGTTTTAATGTATACATTCCTAGCCAATAAATCCAAGAAAAGTATACATATATACATGTAGCTTTCCCTCAACATCTTCCTGCAAGTCATGTTTCCACGGGTCTTGTTCTGGGGTATCTAGTGCATGTAACATGTGCTCAGCCCCTACCATAGAATTTCAGTAACTTTGTCATCTCACAAATGCCTTCCACAGGGCATCCAATGGTGTAGGTCATCAGCTTATACATGCAGTCTTCTCAGCTGTCAAGCAGAATCTATAGTTGTTCCTTTCTTGTTCCAGACCCCCAATTATTCCAGTGATGCCCTCCCTACTACGAATAAGTGATGTGCATTGCCCTTCGGATGCAAAGAGCTTTGGGGGATCCACCTAGCTACTCTCAGGCATGTCCAAATTTTCCTGACCCATAGGGTGTACACAGCTCAGACAGTCCAGCTGCAACCTCTAGGTTACATAAGTAAAAAGGTCAAATTCTATTTTGGAAAACTAAAAGGGCAGATCATTTTTTTTTCCTGGTCTCTCTGTCTCTTGATCTCTCTCTCTGTTACCCCCCTTCTCTCCTCCTCCCTCCCTCCTCCTTCCAAATGCCCTACTGTGTACTCTTGCTTGTTGCTAGTTGAGTGCCTATGTCTGAGTTGGAAGACACAGGAATCTAAGACACCTAGATTGCAGGAGAAGTCAGAGAAAGCAAGCTCCTTCTTTGGAAATGCTCCTTCTGTGATTCCAGGCATGGTGTCCACAGATAAATGGCAGCATTGTGGTGGCAAGAGGGAGAAACAAGACAAGGGGAGTGGTTTTGAGTTTTATCCCGGGTGGCTTATGGTTCCCAGCTGGTCTGATCGATCATTATTAGAATCTCATCAGCAATTGTTAAATGAAGACAGACAATCAGGCTCCAACGTGGTGCTTTTGAAGTCAGGCACAGGGAGCTTTACTTATTTATTTTTAATTCTCCAGAATATTTGGGTACTCATTCAAGTTTGAGAACTGCTGCAGCTTAGCTTCCTCTCACTCTGGTAAGGGCTGTCAGAATTTTTGGCATGGGGGATAAAAGCCAGGTAATAGCTTCCCTTTCATGTATTTATCAAGCTTCTGTCCCCCTCTGGATCAGACCCTATGTTAAGTGCTGGAAATCAAACAGTGAAATGAAAGCAAAGTCCCCGCCTGGAGGATTTTATATTCTAGTGGGGAACACCATATTGCTGCATAGGTCAGGCAGGCAGCACGCCACAGAACTTTAGGATGTGCCACTTGCATCATGACCGTCATGGATTTGTACATGTCTTATGGCAATTTCCAGCAAATGACAGGAAGGGGTCTTGAGAAAGGGGTGCCCTTTAGAATTCACACAGGGATGCCATGTGGCCTAGCTGCCTAAGTAACAGCTGGGTACAGTGACAATGACAGTAGAAGGTGGTGAGTGCTATGGTGACGCATGATGTTCCTGCCAGGAAACAATGTAGAAGCACTTAACTCAGACTAGAGGATCAAGATCCCTTCCTGGAAGAGGACAGCTAATTTTTGAAAAACAAATAAGACTAAGCCAGGCAATTAAGAATCCAGACGCTGCACTTGGCAAAAGAAATGACATAAACCAAAGTGCAGAGAGTGGAGAAGGCAGGAATTCATCTAGGTCACTGAGGTTCAGTGACCCAGTACAAGGTGAGGGCTGATAAGAGATGGGGGAGGAGAGGTTGGCAGACGCCACAACCCAGGGGCCTTATATGTGCACTGCCCCTAAGGAGCTTGAACTCATTCCTGCGAGCAGTGGGGAGAGCCATTAATACTTTTAAAATAATGCCACTCTTCTCCTTGTTTTATACATATGACGGATAAAATCACCCAGAGCCAGCTCATCTGGACAAACACTAACCTTTTGGCATATTTCCATGTGTGTACATGCATCCGTTGACAGTTTTTAAACAGAGAAGTGACATAATTGGGTCTTCATTTTAGAGAGATTACTGTAGCTCGGTGGTTTTCAACCAAGCGTGATTTTGTCACCCAAAGGAATTTTGGCAATGTTTGAAAACATTTTTGGGTCAGATGTGGTGGCTGCCTCTAATCTCAGCGCTTTGGGAGGCTGAGGCAGGAGGCTCACTTGA